TGTGATGACATTATTTCATAGTTATTATGATTCTGCTAAAAAAAAAAAAATCTCACAATTATATATAAATTAATTAAAGTTTATTAATTGTGATATACACAAGCAACACAAGCAATACAAGCAACATAAGTAATATAAATACCCTCTTATTACTTAACTAGCTTTACAATATATAAATACTCTCCTATTATTTAACTAACTTTACAATTATCTGTTCAAACAACATAAATTTGTGACAATATAAATTTTTGAATTGCAACACAAACATAATACCTTCCTATTGCTTAACTTTTAACATTACAACTATTTTTTAAAGAACAGTTTCAGGAATTATAATACTATAACTTGCATGTAGTACATTAACACTTATTTTTCTTTTTTGGCTCAGACTTTGATATTTTATCTTGGTTATTTGACCAAACAACCTTGTTATTTTGATTTTCAATTGCTAACAAATATCTTCTATTTGCAGAATGCCTCTTGTCTTTATGTTGAGATGAATTTGAAAATATAAAATTTTCAATTTCTTGATTTATATCTTGTTTAAAAACAGTATTATTATTTTGTGCTGAAACCTGTTCATTAATAAAATATTGCAGAAGGTTTTCTAAAATCTTATTGGTACTATTTATGATTGCTATATTTAGTGCTTTTTTACAAATTCCAGGATTGTAACCATAAGAAACTTTTTTGAATCAGATTCTACATCAATTTTACTATTAACATCTTGTTCATAAATTCTTTTTAGTACTTCAAATATTATAGTTGGGAGTGATTTGTTTCTGCCTTGTACTAGCTGAATAGATAGTTTTTGATCTTTATCAAATAAGGTTATACCTTCTTTAGAATATCAATGAGAAGATATTAACCTTATATTAAAAAATATTTTTTTTAATTAGATCATTATAGCAAAGAAATGTCAACAGACAAATCCAGTATATATCAAATATAAGCAGGTATAGTAATATATGCTATCACTAAATAAGACAACAAATTGTGAATAGTTTGTAGTACTCTGAATATGTTTAACCTCCTATATTTCGATAACTATATTATCCGAACAATCCTCTAAAGCCATATTTAATAAAATCTATAGTTCTTTATAGTCGTCTTTTATAAATCTCACTTTATGATCTGGTTGCTGACTAGTATCGATATTAAACTTATTATTATATAATAAAGACCTATACAAGAGACTTTTTAACATTTGTTTCTGTTATAAAGCCAATGAATTTGGTGTAAGAAATTTTTTATACATATTATCAATTTTCTTAAAAATCATATTGAAGATATGTAGAAGTCTAGTAGTAGGGTTCATATTTCTAAATTTCTAAAATTTTGTATATTTAGTCTCATCTTTAAGCTATAGCTCAATTCTAGCTTGAAGTTGATATAAAGAATTTCTTGAGTTTGCTTCTAACTTTATAATACAGTTTATACTTTTGACATATTGTGTTGAATAAGTATTTGCTAAAAATTTGCGCTTTGTGAATGCATGTGCTTAACATGTTTTAGTTGGATACAAAACTCGATTATAATAGTTTTGAACTTCTGAATAATTATTCATTAACTCCACCCAATGATAGTCAAAATCAGATACTACAAGCGAATTTCGCAACTTATAAAAATTAGAAATAAAATTGTCTCACTTGTTATGGAGCTTCTTTTTAAGCTTTTTAATTAGATTTTGATGAATATAAAATATATAATATT